CGATAATCCGAGGAAAGTAACCGTGTCTCTGCTGAATGTCCATCAGGGCCTTCGCGGAGTGGAAGATGCATCCTGGATCTTTGTGCTACATGGATGTTGGTTACTTGCGCTTTGGGGAACATGCTGCACGGGGCAAGCTTACCAGGTAGAGATCACTAAAGGCGTCCTCCATCTCCAGAGACAGAACATCCTGTTCCAGCGGCATGAAATACAGCGGGAATTCGGCGATGTTCACGTCTCCGATTATGCCTGCCTCCTCGAGGATTGTGTTGCTTACAAGTGTCCGTCTTGGAACCCAGAAAATAGAGATCTCATGTTCAATGCTGCCATTGCGCTGGAGGCGCTTGACCTGTTCTAGAGGCGTGTTAGCTCATACTGATGACCTTCAATCAGACAAGTAAGAGAGAGAAAGCCTATGAGTGAGCTGATATCTTCGAAATTGGTTGATATTGGGAGCGCGTGACTGGCTACGTAGAGTAGAGGGGAGTCTGCGCGCTTTACAGTCTGTCCCAAGCAGGAATCTCCTTGGTAGAAGGAGTGATATCCAGCTTATCTTACGGGGGAAAAAAAAGCGTGCTCAGGGTGGTAAACAGGAAGTAATCGACGTACCTGCCACAGCCCGCACTTGAGGAAGCTTCTCAGCGTTCGCTAAGAAGACGACATTGCGTTGAGAGGAGTCCACATTGCCATTCTCCAGGAGGAAGACGCGATCTACACCGTACTCTTGGAGCGAAGAGAACTTGACGAACAGTCCGACTGGACCAGCCAAATCTTGACTGACGATGAGGTTCTTCTTACCGCGTACCTGCACCGAAGGATTCAGCTGATGTACACGGGCGACCAGAGGTAGAAGCAAGCCTTACTCACGCCTTCGAGGAGGGTCAACAGATCCCTACGCGCCTTGTCCTTGAAGTAGTCTGCATCAGACCCCGGGTACGGCGCCATGACTGCCAATGAGCATTACTGGAAATGAGGAAGTTCGTTAGGATCGTTAAAATGGTCAAGTTGGTTAATTGGTTGGTTGGTTAAGGTGGTTCAGTCGGAGATACGCGCGCGGACGTTTCCGGCGGGCGGTGGTTTGGTCTGGTTTGGTTGGTTTGGTTGATTTGGAAGGAGGCTTGGAAGGGTCCAGCCACTGCACTAACCATTGTAGGCTTAGTGGAAACACAGCCTGTCACAGCTCCTTGGTACTGAGACCGTCATAACAGCCTTTATCCTCCTCAATAGCAGCCATCACCAATGTAATGAGATTACCCTCCGCCTTTCTCCCCCCTCCACCCCCCAGTTCCGATCATTCCAATTATAGTGCCTGAGGCGTTGCTGCTCCCCTGAACGTTGCCTGCCTGTCTTTCGCCCCTCTTACATCCATCCATCTATCTCCTTTTCTTCTTTTCCCTAAATTCTCCTCTTACTCTACCATTATCTGCCCCTTTTGAGAAACTGAGTTCTACCACCCGCTGACCGTTCCGACAAATTGACATTTTCACCCTAAAACCCACTCGACCACAGATCAACCGCCATGGGCAGGTTCGGCTTCAAAAAGTCCGGGGACGAGGACGATTCCTCCAACCGCCTGGCGCTGTTCGGCTCCCGATCGAAGAGCAAGAGCCCAGCACCTCCCGCCAACCCCTATGCCAAACCCATCCCCACCGATCCCTACACCAAAGCCAAGATCCAAGCTGGTGTCGCCCCTCTTCCAGCCGGGGAGCAACCCGCCGCTCCGGCCCCTTCTGGCCCCGCCAGCATCCCCGGAGACAACAAGCAAGGCTATGCGCCGAACCGATATGGAAATCAGGGTGGATATGGATCGGATCGCTTCGGGGGCAGCACCAACAGTGGAGCGTCGCCAGCAGCCTCCCGGTACGGCCCCGGCGGCTACGGAGGGCTAGGCAGCACCGATCCCAACGACTCCGCCGCTGCGGATGCCAACAGAGATGCACTTTTTGGAGGAGCAAGGGAACGAGCAGAGCAGCAGCAGCCTCAGGCCGGCGGTCCCCCGCCGCCTTACTCGGAGGGCGGTGCGGCCTACGGCGGCGGCAGTAACGACTACAACACATCGACCTACCAGGAACGGCATCTGACCGCGGAGGAAGAGGAGGAGGAGGAGATCCAGACCATCAAGCAGGACATCCGCTTCATCAAGCAGGGGGATGTGGCTTCGACCCGCAACGCGCTCCGCATTGCGGCGCAGGCGGAGGAGACCGGTCGGGAGACGCTGGCTCGGTTGGGCGCGCAGGGCGAACGCATCCATGATGCGGAGCGGAGCTTGGACGTGGCGACCATCGAGGGCCGGATTGCCGAGGAGAAGGCCAAGGAGCTCAAGACCCTCAACAAGAGCATGTTCGCGGTGCACGTCTCCAACCCCTTCACCAGTGCCCGGCGGCGGCGCGAGCGCGACGAGCGGATCCTGGACACCCACCGACAGGAGCGGGAAACCCGCGACGGCACGCGGAACGAGGCCTTCAAGACCAACCAGCGGATGGAGCGCACGTTCCGGGAGATTGACCGCGAGGCGAGCAAGCAGACCACGCGGGGCCGGACCAACGTCGCCGACCGTGCCAAGTATCAGTTCGAGGCGGATAGTGAGGACGAGGCGATGGAGAACGAGATCGAGCAGAACCTGGACCTGCTTGGCGGTGCCGCAAGCCGCCTGAACGGTCTCGCCAAAGCCACGGGTCGGGAGCTGGACGAGCAGAACCGTCACTTGGAACGTATCACGGGCAAGGTAAGAACCTCTGACTTATGGATTCTGAACGTGAGCCTAACAAGCCTTCTAGAGCGACTTTGTCGACGAGCAAATCGCCATGAACTGCGCCAAGCTGGACCGGATCCGTTAGACATACCCCATAATAAACGTTTTGTTGACTGCCTGGCGCTGTCGCACTTTTCCCTTTTTCAAATGCACATATCCCATCTGCTTGGCGTTCCTAGGTATACTACATTCGTACTTGATGAAACACTACAGTCGAGATTATTAAAATACTGCAGAATCTTGCTTGGCGGGAGGAAGTAATTGCAATACAATAGAATTCTGTGCTTTGCTAGCAGCCTGGTGCCTATCCTCCCAACTTTTGCAGAGTAAGAACGACTATTCTTAACTCTGTAGCTCAGCCATGCATACTGTACACAGACACTGTACGTACACCACTAAACCGACCATTTATCATGCAACCCCATAGTTGCAAATCTCAAACAACCCCAGCACGCCCCGAATCGGGCACTCCCGACCCTTGTCCCCAATATCCCTCATTTAATCAATCTTATACACAAGCCCTCACTCGACGCGTCAACCAAGTAATCTCAATCTGAAACACCACCCACCACCTGCAAGATTTAAATTCTCAATCCGAGAATGTTTTACGCCCGCTCAATATACATAGTATATTATATCGAAGACAGTCCGGTCCCACTTTCATATTCCCACATGTTTCATTCTCTTTTCCAGCCCCCCAATCACCAACACAGATCGGAGGATTTTTTGAATCCCCCAACGGTTTTTGTCTTACATAGTATAAGTGCTCTCCACTCTTCTGATGTTAGCCTAACCGTTTCCCGATCTCAGATTTGCAGGCATATTTTCTCTTGCACTTTAAGATGCGTAGTAATATTGACGATGGAGCCCAGACTACGTCAGCTTTTATCGGGCGGACGATTACTTCAGGATGGTTTACTTATGTCTTAGAACAATAACGGCTCGCGTCTGGACGGTGTGTTCTGTGTAGACCGTAGGCCGTGTCTCAGATGTCATATTGTCAAAATCTGTCAGAGGATGAGCCTTTCTATCTGGATCGATGGTTTGGGATGTGTCCAACGGGAAAGGGGTAAGCTTCTCTTGACTCGAGGTGGATCAAACAGACACACTGTTTTCTGCTTTGGATGAAGCAGTATCCGTCTCGAGGGTTGTCAATGCCATGCAAGTTCATGAATGCTCTTTGATTGGTTCGGGGTCGCGGGAATGGTAAGTGTCTAGATGTATGTACTAGTGGCTCGGTTAGGGTGATATGAAGTTGGTCCTGGTGGAGAGATGTGTAGATAGGGTTAGTCCCCTGGTTTCTCGAAGGCTCTTGCAGTCATAGTAACCTGTGGTTTTTGGCCTTGTTCGCGGTCTCCTCCATATATTATTTGAGTTTGTATGTGTAGATAATCCGTCAGGGTGTGATATAGGTGTAAAGTAAACAATGGTGCAGCGAAGCACCTTGTTCAGCCCTGGGGACAGTTGGGAAAGACATTGAGTGGCGTTTGATGGACTCTCGAGGTCTTTTCGTAGCTGTAGCTTGGAGTAGTGTGTCTTTGTAGTTAAGTGCTTGTGAGGAAATTTGTCCTGTTTTCTGGTAAAAGGTGTTAGACATGTGCTGGTGTTGGTTGTCTGCTACCCCAATGCACTCAGTCGAGCGAGGTGAGCATCGCTAAGGTCGAGCGGGTTCGTGAACAAGGAGGATATCCCAATCTTCCTTCTCATTAGGTGAAAGAGGAACAAGACTAGATGGTGTGGCGCCCTGGTACTTGGCAACCTTCCAGGCGCTTAGCAGTACATTTGTCTCGATAAGAGCGAGCATGAACCAACACAACTCCAGCTTTGAGATAATCAAGAACCTTAAAGAGATGACCACCAAATAGGAGCATTCTGCCTGGCCAACATGGCACACCAGGAGTGCATGTCTGCGGTGCGGCGCTTCATCGAAACCTTGCGGGTTCTATCTCCGTCTCATTAGGCCTTGGTCTCGCGTCTATACCATACCCTGCACTTGACTCGCAAGGCTCTCGCCAATGTCTTCTACTGTGGCACAGTTGAGGGCGTGTTGGAGCTATTGATAATGAGCTGTGCCCTGCTGAAGGATTAGTATCAGTGATGTGGCATCTTTGGTAGTCGTAGATGTTGGATAACTTCTCTATCATCATGCCTTCTGCTTCGCCTCGACATGTCTATATTTGGCAAGGCATACTTAGGATGCCAACCTGGCACGAAGATGCTGCTCTGCTGCAGGGACAAGAGAGGGGCAGAGGTCAGCTGCTGTGGGAGGTGAATATTGGCACATTCACTGCAGAGGAAGTCACCACAAGCCACTGGCATCCATAACATAATAAGAGTAACACCCTCCTCCCAACTATTTGATATATCATCTCAACTCATCTCATCTCTCTGGTCTCATCATCTCTACCCCCCGAAGTTCCCTTTACACCTCCCCCTACATCCACACTCAATCCAAAGACATCATCATCCAGAAGAACAGAAGACAAACCACCAAGATGCGCCTCCTCGAGTCCCCCCTCAAGACCCTCCTCATCCTCCTCAGCATCCTTATCTTCACCACCGCAATCCCCTTCCCCTCCCCTCCCACCACCGAAACAGAAACCGAAATCGAACTTCACCCACCGAACGCCGTCCACCTAGCAATCAGCTTCATCTCCCTCTCCCACGCCCTCTCCTCGCTGCGCCTAACTAAGTGCCCCCTCGACGTCGTCTCCATCAACCAAACCACTAGCGAACGCTCAACAGGAATCTCCAAACGAGGACACGAGGAAGCAGCAGCAACACCGCACCTCAGCCCCCCCTCCGCCCACCTCTCCCTCAAATTCATCGCCCTCGGCCGCGGCACGCAGAACTACACCTGTCCGACCACCTCCAAGGACAACACCTCCAGAAACGCCTCTGCAACCCCAATCGCCACCGGCGCTGTCGCCACGCTCTACGACATCTCCTGCCTCGCCGCAACCCCGAAGAGCCATGCGCTGCGATTCCTCCACGCCCTCCCAGGATTCACCCGGTCCATCCCGCAGGAAGTCCTAGCCTTCTATGCCGTGATGCTGTCCCAGTCCGCAATCATCGGGGAGCATTACTTCTCTTCCTCCCAATCTTCTTCTTCCACTACCTCGACAACAGCAGCCGCAGCAATGCCCGTCTTCGATCTCCGCCCCGCGACATTCGGAAAACAAGGCGGAAGATACGAGTCCAACTGGGTCAAGGCCAAGAAGGTGGAGAGTGTAAATGCCCCCGGTAGTGGAGGTGATGACGTGCCCTGGTTGAAGATGGTTGGGGTGGAGGGATCTGGTATCAAGGTTCGTTCTTCTTCCTTCCTTGCTCATGCAATCCCAAAAACGAATGGGTGTATAGGTGGTAGACGATATGCTAACTAGGCGAATGCCCCTTCTTCAGGAGATATACCGTGTCCACACGGCTGGAGGGATGAGTCCGGCGACTTGCGCGGCGCACGAGGGGGAGTTTGGGGTGTAGTATGCGGCGGAGTATTGGTTTTATGGATGAGAGGTTCCCAACTCTGTGGTTTGATTTGAATTGGTTCCATCGGAGAGTGGGAGGTATGCAGGTTCAGATGAATGAGATATGGTGGATTTGAATGGGAAACGAGGGATATGATGCGATGATGATTGATGAGTGCGCCTGTTTACTGGGATTTGAGATGGGAGTACCGTGCTAACATCATGGATTTGTCCATACCTGCTAGTTCGTAATCATGATATCGAAATAATGGGACCAGTTCCAAGCGATGGACCTTCTACAACGTTCTTTCTTCAATCAGGAGTTGATGCCATGCATTGAATAGGTACATGCAAGACTTGCATCCCCAGTCACAAGGCAGTTGCGCGGTAGATGCGTATACCTAGTTGAATGTCGTTGACACACACTGCCTGTCCGTGCCGCAGATATCAGGCAATGTGCAGAAGTATCGTAAGCAGGGTTGCATATCCTTCCTCATACGCACAGTAATCAGGAAAGGCCGTGAGTGGGAGCTCTAAGGTCAGAGGGGTTGAAAGTGATCATCTAACAGGAACACGATCATTGCTCCCTCCAGCCTAGAAAGCACCCTAAGGCCCCTGATATAAAAGAGATTGCAGGCAGCCCTTGGTTATATCTCTGTGACTGGATATCCAATCCATACTACTGTCTGTCCAATCCTCCTTCAATGCAAGTGAGTTCGTGTCAACTCCAAATGTCAAAAGCAAACTGCCTATACTTGCAAAGGCACAAATTTACGCGTAAGGAAGTCAGGGACCTAGTAAGTTAGAGCTACCTGTGTAGCAAAGGTGCCCTGCCCTTAAGTCTACACTACTAGCCATATCATATACAAAATGGCCATCAACTTACGAAGAGGATTTAGGGATTGGGTTTCAGTCACCTGCCTGGCCACCCATTGATAACTGCAGCAGAAAGAGTAGTTGCCTTCCAAGTCATTCTTCCGTTCGTCCTTCCTGTTGTTAACCTTTGTGTAAGACATTATTCCTTTACATGGAGGGTCAATGCTTATGGAAGAGTACTGTACGACTAAAATATATCTCAACTGGCTCTCGCCTGGCGAATAAGACATCAACCTAGATAATGTATTCTCCTATCTCGGTGTGTTCGATTCGAATCAACCTCCATCTACATGCGACATTTAGAATGTGCAAGCGAGTATACAAGTACTAGTATATCTTATCGATAAGCCTCTAGAATGACTGAAGAGAACCCTCTTGTCCGGCATGGTCCATGGGCAACGAGTACCACAACCACAGCCAGCACCCCTTTCCCCCTTCTCCAATTAACACATCCATCATGATCCATTTTTGCACCGTACGGTATCACCCAAAATCCAGAGTCCAACTCCGTAGGTACCACACCTTTGCTACCAACTCTACCCCAAACCCCCATCCAAAAATCCAAAATAGCAACAACCGCAACGATGATGATGATGATGATGAGAACCATTCAAGCGCGGATGAGGTAATAATTGTACAACAGTAATGGTCTTAGCGAGAAAAGCGCAACAGCAGTGACTTCATTCCCCAGTTGCTGTGAAAAGCCGCGTAAGCCGGACTCCATTGTCAATGTGAGTGGTTCTTGGCGTGCGTCGCAACGGTCGGTTGTGATTCGATGTCAAAGTCAAGTGGAGAATGGAAGGCCCCCCCCCCAGGTTCCCGAGTTCAAGAAAAACGTTCCATCCACCTTGGGATATGTATACTTAGAAACATGGTATGCGAACTGTCCTATGTAGTATACTACCGTCGTGGGGGTGGAATACCTGGTTGCTACTGTCTTTGCTTGGTTACTTATTTGGTACAAGGGGGAGAAGCGGGAGGGGTGGGCGTTGTTGGGGTTTCCGTGGGTCGGGATGCAGGTACTGATTGTATCTATGAGTATCGCAATCTACTCATACAATTGTGTATAAGGAGAGAATCTTGGGGTGGTGGTGGATGGAGTAGGAGTAATGAATTGATCGGGGGGCTTGTTGATGATGACATTCAGTCGCAGTATACAATGAATAAACGCACATTGCAGACTCAGTATGTGCTATACTGATTGATAGCTAGACGTACCTTAGCGCATTATCCAGAGGGAAACCCCTTGAAGATCAACCCCAAGCTCCAACGTCTATACACGATAAATACCAAGCATTAGGCTCGGAGGAATAATGTGCAACTACTATAGCACCCAGATGAAACACTACAAATGTCGTGCTCGCGATCCTGAGGGACTTCGCAAGCAGCATTACGACGCTCAATCTCAACCACCGCGGGCGATGAACTCTGACCCGAGGGACATGTGAAGGAAGGACGGACGCCCCAGGAAGAAAAGTCCAGATGGTAAAAGGTGGTAGGTATCCCGAACCTCCAATGCGTTGTTGTTGCCGCTGTACTAATTATGATTGGATATATGGTTGATCCCTGTCACCCAGTGCTGTTCATCTGTATAGGAGACGAAAGAGGGGTGGTGGATCTGAGACTCGGAAATGCAGGGAAGCCCATCTACCTCCCTTATCTGGACTAAAACGTTCAGATCGTTCATTTAGTTCCCGTGTCTTGTCTTCTTCTTCTCCTCTGTGTATATCCAACACGCGGGACGGGGAGAGAGAACTTATGACGTTGCGTAGGTGGTAGCTTCCTATTTCCCAGCGAGGATTAAATGCAGGGTCTACCAGAATAAGGGAATGAGGAATATTTTTAGATTGTCGAGAGAGGAGTATACCCGGTCTTTCGCCCTCAGATAAATTGTTTTCGACGCATTGATCCAGCGCTAGTGATTTCCGAGTAAGTAGTTTAAGTGACGTGAGTAAGTGAGAGTGAGTGGGTGGTGAGAGCTTTAGCTGGTGAATCTCAACTGTTTCTACTGGACTGAACTCAACTCCGATCGGATCTATCATCCCACCGTCGCCTAAGCAAGCCACGCAATCAACATTCAACCAACCATCAGATAACACACCTCCTATCCCTGATGATATGCTGCTGCTGATGATGATGTAGTGAGCAGAGAACAATGACCAACTGTAAACCAAATCACTAAATAAGCTGACATATGCCAAGGCCGGTCCATCTCCACTTTCTGCACACTAGGTTTGTTTTCCCGCCCACCGGAGTTCTCACGGGAGTCCTCGAGTCCTTGAGGCTTGCCGTCGCAGGAAGCTTGGTACTCGAGCGGTGGTTTTGTTTTTCAGGGTCCTTGGTTCCGTGGCTTGCGGCCGTTCCTGACTGGGTTGGCCATGTCTTACTTGTCTGTCTCAGGATAGAACATGCTCTCGTCAACCTTGAAAACTTACGCGTCACAAGAGAAGGGTGGTAGTGATGGTGGCCAGTGAGCACGGAGTAGTCAGGCCCTGAAATGCCGGACGGAAAACTGACTGACGCACAGACACACAGCAAAAGAGAGAGAGAGAGAGAGAGAGAGAGAGAGAGAGAGAGAGC